TTTAAGGTTTAACAAACTGGGTAAGCATATACTTAGTTGTTTGTATCACCCATTCTTCTAAACCATCCAACTTCACTACACCCAATATTTTACACAACTCAGAGAACAAATGGCTGTTGAAATTAGTCCCTGATTCCTGTGGATATCTTTCAGTGCTTATGGACCATGCTGATGCATTATAAAATAGATAAGCCATGACTCACTTCTTGAAGTAATTAATGGTGACGAGTATGTACCAATGACTTACCTCAGTTTTCAGAAGTGGATCAGTGATATCTAGTTATCCTCTATAGAAGAACCCAAAATTCTCTGTTGAAATTATCCTGACTTGGCTGGTTCTTCCTCTGGGCAGCACACGTTGTATATCATTTGCATCATTGCCGAATATGTCGACTTAAATGGAGCTAGAAGATCCACCATTGAATATAAGCATAAATGTTGATAATATTTTGGTGTCCTGCAAAGCCTGGAGAATCTCTTGTCTTAGAGATCTGGAGATCACAAGTTATAACACAGACAGAGAATCACTACTTGGTGGTTTATAACAATCGTATGCTCCATTTTCCTACTCCTGAAATTGACCATACAAGTGCCACAGGTTACTTATATATATGCTATGTTCCTCTACCTATACTAGCAAGATTTTACGTTGCTGCATAATAAGGAGCACTCATGCTAGATCTGAGCTCTTCAGTTGCTCTTCCCAAAGTGTTACTCATGGTATTCATCTACCAATGGAATCTCCTACTATATGATTTGATGTTATTATGGTGAGAATAGTTTCAACTCTCATACAGATTTGAGGAACAATACATTCCATGAAGAGGCAAGGTCTCACTGTGTAGTAAGATAGCCTATCCAGATTTCTGTCTTACAGGCCTGGGCAACGCAATACAGCATGTCATGTTCTTGTAACATTGTTATCCAATGTGCTACTATCCCTTCTGAATATTTTGAGTTCATCAACCATTTCAGCAAAGTATGGTCTATCTGGGTGGTGAATTTCCTACCATACAAGTAATGGTAACAATGTTTTAAGAAGACTATAAGCAGTTCTTTCTTTGTTGTACAGAATCTACATTCAGGAGCCACAAGTGTATACTAGCATACACAAATTACACATTCTACTTTATTCTGCAGCTGCTACAATACTTCCCCAAGTTCTGTTATTGCTGGCATCAGTGTCTACTAAGAACACGCTTTCTTGCTGTGAATATGCCAGCATTGGAGTATCCACTGAAACAAGCTTTAGAGATTAAAATGCTTTATTGCATTCCTCACTCAATTATAGTGACAGCAGACAACGTTGCTGCTATTTTGGAGAACTGGTCACAAACTATCTTTAATATGACATAAAACCAAGGAAACTGTGGACTTCTCATTTGATCACATCATGAGGCCAGTCTCTTACTGCTGCTATCTTAGCTGAGTCTGTAGAGACTTCATCTCTACCTGCAATGTGTTAAAAAATATCCACTTCTGTGTGTAAGAGCACGCATTTTTTTTGGTTGAAGTTCCAAGCTTGTTCTATTTATCTGCTGGAATACCATTCTCAGGTTCTTTTCTGCAGATTCAAATGTGTGACCAAACACCAAATCATTGTTGACATAGACCAGGCATTTTTCAGTCATAGGGGTAATATAATGTGAAGGTCAATCCCACTAATCGTTGGTAAAAGACAGCCCAAGAATTGGCAGTGGGTGGTGTTTATTAGCTGCCTTTCCTCTGGGGACAGCTAGCGCAGACAGCTTTCATGTACGAAATTGAACAAAAAATCGCATTTGATGAAACTTTGTAGAATGGACAACAACTGTCTGTTGTAGAAATACAACTGTATAGGACGACACAGGAGACTTTCGAAAAGTCGTCCTCTACACTTGTATCTCTACAACAAGCAGTTGCTGTCCATTCTATAGAGTTTCATCATGAATACTCTGCCTAAACAATCTATCATCGTCTTTGTTGCTGTCATGATATAAAAGACTGTTTAGTGTAGGAAGTATTTATTAATTAGTTTGTATTTCATGACTGTTAAGTTTTTTTATAATAAGAGAGTTAAAAGCAGACGGTTTTTGGAAGTTGTGTTTACAATTCATTGATGTTGAGGCTATCGAACGTCGCGTGAAATTTATTGACATCGAGGATATAGAGATTTCTAGAAATCAAGCAGACGATTAAGTGATAAATATATAAATAGTGTGAGACGAACGGGAACAGCAGACAAACAGAACAGACTAGAAAGTAAAGTCGCGAGTAGTAGAAGTCCGGCCAAGGAAAGTTAAACGTAAAGTTAACTGCCGTAGCAATGAAAGGCCTAACAATTAATATGTTAGAAGAAAACTAACAGTTTAAAAGAGATAAGAAGTATAGTTTATTCCATCAAAGCATGTTCTAAAGTAATTAAACCAGCATGAGTGCACTTTGTTAAAAGGAACAGACTATACCTGAAGTACGAGGACCAGACGATTGCTGGAAGAGCAATATATGACTGTGGTAACACACGTTATAATTGCAAGTGAATTATACACGGAATACTAGTGCGATAGGAATAGAGAAAAGTAGTTCGGTTTGTCAACTGAAATTCTAAATCAATTGAATAGGACTAAGTGGACTTTTGACAACAAGAAGAGAACTATCTAGTGTTTATGATATGTCTATATATCTATAGTGTAAATAATTTGTTGTACATACATTTAACTAGTTCGAATATATATATATATTTAAAACAAGTGGAGCGCATGCTGTTCGTTTATTTTTGAATTTATCGGCAACAAGTTACAGACACCTACTGTAGAAGAATCCTTAGCTCAACACCCATATTATTCAACCTACATAATAAATACTACTACTATAAATAATATTAAGAACAATAAGCCTCTATTTTGTCAGTTGCACTGTGACACGTAGATTCCAGAAATATGAGGGTGAACTTGGCTTTTTGAATAATTAAAGTGTGAGATAACATAATATAATGTTTTTGGACAACATGAGACCTATTGGTCCATCTTGACTGTTCCATCCTCTAAACTAAATCAAAATAATTATAAAAAATATTAAAATCAGTCCTTATCATTCATATACTTATCAAGCTTTTTCTTAAACTTACTTAAATTTACTGCCTCTACAACATCTGAAGGCAACCCATTCCAAAG